TCGATTTTAAGAAACTGATTTTACCTTGAAGTATTGAGCGGTGGCTAACACCTCTACCAGACGTATGAGTTGACAATTGAACTCGTTTCAAGCTCAGAAAGACATAAAAAAGAATCAAGATAGACTAAGAAACTGAGGTTACCTTGAAGTACCCGAGCGGTGGCTAACACCTCTACCAGACGTATGAGTTGACAATTGAACTCGTTTCAAGCTCAGAAAGACATAAAAAGAATCAAGATCGGATAAGTAACTGAGGTACCTTGAAGTAACCGAGCGGTGGCTAATACCTCTACCAGACGTATGAGATGACAATTGGACTCGTTTCAAGCTCAGAAACATGTAAAAAGAATCAAGATCGATTAAGAAACTGAGGTACCTTGAAGTACCCGAGCGGTGCCTAACACCTCTACCAGACGTATGAGATGACAATTGGACTCGTTTCAAGCTCAGAACAACATAAAAGAATCAAGATCGACTAAGAAACTGAGGGTACCTTTGAAGTACCGAACGGTGATATAACACCTCTACCAGACGTATGAGATACCAATTGGACCGTTTCAAGCCCAGAAAGACATAAAAAGAATCAAGATAGACTAAGAAACTGAGGTACCTATAAAGTACCCGAGCGGTGCCTAACACCTCTACCAGACGTATGAGTTGACAATTGAACTCGTTTCAAGCTCAAAAAAGACATAAAAAGAATCAAGATCGGATAAAAAATTGATACCTTGAAGTAACCGAGCGGTGGCTAATAACATCTACCAGACGTATGAGATGACAATTGGACTGTTTCAAGCTCAGAAACATAAAAAGAATCAAGATCGATTTTCAAACTGAGGTACCTTGAAAACCCGAGCGGTGCCTAACACCTCTACCAGACGTATGAGATGACAATTGGACTCGTTTCAAGCTCAGAACGACATAAAAAGAATCAAGATCGACTAAGAAACTGAGGTATTTTGAAGTACCTGAATGGTATCTAACACCTCTACCAGACGTATGAGATGACAATTGGACTCGTTTCAAGCTCAGAAAGACATAAAAAGAATCAAGATCGACTAAGAAACTGAGGTACCTTGAAGTACCTGAGCGGTGTCTAACACCTCTACCAGACGTATGAGATGACAATTGGACTCGTTTCAAGCTCAGAACGACATAAAAAGAATCAAGATAGACTAAGAAACTGAGGTATGAAATCTTTGAACGGTGTCTGGGTCTACCAGACGTATGAGATGACAATTGGACCTGTTTTCAAGCTCAGAACGACATAAAAAGAATCAAGATAGACTAAGAAACTGAGGTTAATTGAAGATATGAGCGGTGGCTAACACCTCTACCAGACGTATGAGATGACAATTGGATTTATTTTCAAGCTCAGAACGACATAAAAATTAATCAAGATCGACTAAGAAACTGAGGTACCTTGAAGTACCCGAGCGGTGGCTAACACCTCTACCAGACGTATGAGATGACAATTGGGCTCGTTTTAAGCTCAGAAGGGCATTAAAAAGAATCAAGATAGACTAAGAAACTGAGGTACCTTGAAGTACCCGAGCGGTGGCCGACACTTCTACCAGACGTATGATATGACAATTGGACTCGTTTTAAGCTCAGAAGGGCATTAAAAAGAATCAAGATCGACGTATAAACACGTCTATAGCTGGGTTTCGAACATTATGTTTTGGACATGTTTATTTGTCCATGTCTGAAAAAGATACTTTCGGTAAAAACGTATATAAATGTTTACATCACGGAAGTGGTTAAAAAAACAGACATTTTGTGTCGATGAATTTTATTGATCGAATTTTCCAAATTATGTATAATCCTTCTCATCTAAGGAGGAAATTCTGTCAGAAATTGTCCAAAACTGACTTTGATGATGACTTTAAAATAGTTGAAAGCTTCGACCAAATTCCTTCCGAAAAGAACACTGGACAATTTCTGACAGAATTTCTTCTTTACCTTTATTACACGCATTGTTATTATTTTGGAAAAGACGATCAATAAAATTCATCGACACAAAATGTCTGTTGCCTTTAATAAGATTTGTCTTAAAGAACATTTTCTGTCTAAATACACAGACTATATATATATATATATATATATATATATATATATATATATATATATATATATACATGATAATGTTAGCATATATATATTATTTATATATATTCACAGTACTTTTGGGATATCAGTGATAGAGGTTTATATTTATTTGCATTGAAATTTTTTTGTGACCATGGGTGCAAAGTTTGTCTGATAATTTTAAGGGAATGATTTGTCAAGGTTGAATTTACAACATCACATCAGCATTTTTAATTATATATATATATATATTTATATATAGTTAAGCAACACAACTCAGAAAAAGACTATGTGGAAATGTATATTCTTTTGGGCTTATATTGTAGGCTGTACAATTATAGTCTATTCAAAATTGATGATGGTGTGAACAGAAATGCAGACATCTATTGTTCGTATTTTTATTAGACATGTTTTTAGAGAGGCTGAGTTCAAAATCAAAAAGCTTTATTAAGCCAAAAAAAAAAAAAACGTATATCGCTACATACTCTTTTGCATACTGTAAATCTGATATCGATAGAATATAGTGCCTACTCTTATTATTTTGAAGGTCATATTAACATATTGTTTTATTTTAGTTTTATCTTTGTTTTTCATTCTTACTTTGTTTTCTGGTTTCATCCCCCCCCCCATCATTTAATAAATCATGAAATTTTCATTTAAATGAACTTTATGGACAATGAAATGAAATTTTTACACCATGGGAATTTTTCTTTTAAATTCCCTGCGAATTTGCGGTGTTATGGTGTATGTAGGGTTGTGGTGATTGATGAGTCCTTCTGGTATAATGGGCAAATTGTAATAAATGAATGGGTTGTGATTCTGATTAACTAGGACTAGAAGAGCTATGGAAGACCAATCTCCCTCCATTTTCCCTTTCGTCCTTGTGCCAGAATTTTGTATTTTTACAAAATAAATAATCTGTAAATCTGATAAGTGTGGAGATTTAATTAAAATAAAAATTAAAATAAAAACTATATTCTCTTTTATACAAGTTTCATTAAAAACCGCTAACAATGTACTGTAGTTAACTATTCTATTTAATTCTTCTCGTGTTTAAAATTTTCGTCTTTTCTGGACATAAATTATGTAAAAACTGTCCAGATGTTTTATATGTTCGAGCGCATTCGGCTGTACTTTTAGCCATTATCAAGGATGAATTTTATTTTTTAATTTTAACAGAATGTATACATTGTGCTATGTATGTATCTAGAGATATAAAAATGAATTATTTTCCTAACACGGTCAGCACATTGTGAAATGCAAAACATTTGATATTATTGAATGTTGGATTTTATATATTATTTAAAAACTTTATTAATTTATAAATTTATAGATACAATAAAAATCTAAAAAAACTTATTTTAATACCTTGTGAGTCGTTTTAATTAAACATATATATATATATATATATATATATATATATATATATATATATATATATATATATGTATGTGTGTGTGTGTGTGTGTGTGTGTGTGTGTGTGTGTGTGTGATGTGTGTGTGTGTGTGAAAAATATTTCTAAAGATGTGCTATATTTATGGGATAAATTTGCTCAATATCAGAGATAGAGCGTGTGTAAATATAAAAGTGAACATAGAAGTCAACACTTAGAGGCGAAAGTCTGTTTCATGCTGCATGCAAAAATGTTGTCTCTAATTTTTATATCTTTTATATTTTATATATATATATATATATATATATATATATTAGTTTTAAAGATATGTTGGACTACGGACTCTATATTTTCTTTTGATTTTTGTTTATTGACACAGGAACACATTTATATTTTCGTATATATATATATATATATATTTATATATATATATATATATATATATATATATATATATATATATATATATATATATATATAAACAAATTAATGGATTTTATTTTTTCTATTTTTTAATCCGACATATGTTTTTTTGAGTTTCAAACGATTATTTTAATGGATACCTGATCTTGAGCCAACGCTAAGAAAAAAATATATAACCATTTGGACAGAATTTTTTGTTTTAATATTTTGATTGAACAAACCATCAAATTCAAATTCAAAATCTCGTCACACGACAAGCACACCAAAATCGAGTGTGGTTCCATTTCTATATATATAAAGATTTAATAAAATACGTCATTTTCGGTAAACGAAAATGAATAGAGTTTTAAAAAAAAATAAACGAAGTCTTTCTAAATATGGATAAAATAAAAAATAACGTTTGTGGTTATCAAAATAGACACACACACACACATAGCACATCTTTCATTTAATCACTGTAGGGCACTTTTCTCTCTGTCATGGCAGAATTAGACTCCAGGAAAAATCTTTTTTTAAACTTTTGGATCACGATTTTAACAAATATGATTGAAGCGTTTTCATCGAATGAATAGCTGCATCTATTATTATAGATTATTTGGATCAGGTTTTGCCGTGCCAAAAAAAAAAATTCTCGGCACTGTCTAACTTCCACATTTATAAATCTATCATTCGGTCGAGCATAAATTTGTTGCCAATCTGGAAATTTTCTGCTATTCATCTTGAGATTTATTGACAAATTTCCCTTTAGATCTGTAATGTATTTTTGAACAGGCCTCACGTCATCAGTCTATTTATCACCATTTTCATGTTTCATTCCCTCTGTCTTTTCATGGCAACAGATTATGAGCTATATTTCCTGGTGAACCGACCATATCCATAAAATGTAACTAGATTGTTATCCAGGTTGAATTAGTCATTAAATGTAGATAAATTTCAAAAAGCAAACGTCTCTTTTCTAATGGTTTTTCTAACAGTGGAACTCCTTCCGTTTACCTGATTTCTTGATACTTTTACAATCTTTCAATAAAAAAATGAATAATAAATCGCCATCTTCTGTCTTCTGGAACCAATTTACATTCATTTTGAAAAAAAAACAAGTTCCAATATATTTCCCGATCTTCTCTTAGATAGATAAGAATAAACAAGGAACATATATTAATAATCAAGTATAGATAGATAGAAAGAATAAAAAACATAGGTTTAGATTGAAAAAAAAACACTGAGATCTGATATACATGAATATTAGATATGAATAGAGATAGATAAATAAGTAATAATCAATTTATATATATATATATATATATATATATATATATATATATATATATATATATATAGCATAATGAGAAAATACGGTATACTTTCATTAATATGTATATATAGAAAAAGTTGCAAATTAAAAAAATAATAACAAATTTTTTTTATGAATTTATTTATTTATTTATATATTTGATAGAATAGATTGATTCAAATTTCTTCCGTATTTTGGGAATAAATATATATATATATATATATATATATATATATATATATATATATATATATATATTAAATTAAACATTATTGACAAACGGATTCCATTTATTTTAAGTTCGAATCATATGTTCTATATATTTTAATGAAATATGCATTAATGGATTTAAATTAAACACTAAATATATATGTTATAATATATATATATATATATATATATATATATATATATATATATGAGGTGTCCCAAAATAATATATACATTTTTTAAATATTAACATTATTAATAATACATTTTTATATGAATGAAAATATGCTAATTAGATAGATTGGAAGTCGTTTCTGTTGTTGAATACATGATCCCCAGATTTGATATATATTGCTATTTCTTTTTGTGGACTTTTCTAAAAGCCTTGTTTAAATTAGGAAACCTGAAACAATAAAATAAAATGAATAACAATTTGAAGAATTTGCTCAAATACCAGAGGAAATGATACTGGACGTTTGTAGTTCTATTTCTTTAAAGATCATGAAAAGTGTATTGAAATGAATGGCAACCATTTTGAACACTTGATGCGAACTCATCATTATATGAACATTCTGCCATTGCCCCAAGTAGATTTTATCTTATTAAAGTTAATTTTCTATGTTTTTTTCTTTTCTCTCAAATTTTTAAATGTGTATTCTATATTCTTGTATTAATCTTATAGTCTTCAAAATACATAAATTGAATAAGTTATAATGATTCTGAGAGTAAATACATTATTTTTGAGATTCAATTCCAGGTAAGGAATATATATATATATATATATATATTTATATATATATATATATAAAATATAATGAAAAAAAAGAAAAAAATAAGATATCTGCATGGAAGTTCTTATAGATATTTTTATTATTACAAAATAGTTTATAATATAAATATTATAGATATATATATTATAAATTAATTTATTTAAATATATTTTTTCGCTATTTATTTTGAAACATGATCTATTTTCTATTGAAAAAAAACAAATTTTAAATCGTCCTTAATATATAATATATATATATAAATATATATATATATATATAATATATATCATCGCGTTCAAGTCCAAAAAACCATTCTATATCACGATGGTTTTAATTACAATATGGAAAAACTAACAATCAAAACCAAATTTCCTTCGATTATCTAAAATTTTGAACTAGTTTTCTTTTTAAATTTGGAGACATTTGAACTTTTTTAAAATATTAAGATAAACCTACATCGAGCAACGACGGATTATCCTAAAATAAAAACAAAAAAATTCGTCAAACAGAAAAATTTAAAAAGAACCAACAAATTTTCTTTCAGGTTCACCACAACACCAACGGAATTTGGTGTTTTTTGGACACTATCTCAATATTTTATGTTCTCTTTGACATATTTTTATTAAAGATGATTTATAATCACACATACATTACAAAGAAAAATAAACCATCTAGGATGAATTTTAAAATCTTTGTACAAAACAGAACTCTAAACTAACCCCAGCAACAAAATTATTTTTGACATATATAAAACTAAACAGCAGATTTACTAAATAAAAGTAAACACGCAGTTAAACTAGAATACATTGCAAACATTAGTAAGAATGGCAATAATAGACATAAGAATAGAAAAAGCAACGTTTGGTTCAACTCAAAAAAAAAACATCATCGGTAGGATTTTCGTAAATTTAATCCAGAAACATTAAAAACATATTTATTTACATCAATAAAATTTCAATAAGAACAATGGTTCTAATTTTCATGGGAAAAAATAAAAACTAGCAATTTTTATTAGTAAGAATGCCAATAAAAAAACATATAATATAATTCTTTATAAGAATTTTTATAAATTGCAAATAATGAACCGAAACTTTTATAATAATAAATATCACAGCATAATAACGTATCTTTATAATAATAAATAACACGGCATAATAACGTAACTTTATAATAATAAGGACAAATGATTTTATCTTTATAATAATAAATATCACATAACGTATTTTTAAATAATGCTTTAACACGGTTTAATATTAGTGTTTAAAATAATAAATAAATTTAAATTTATTTTATAAAATAAATATCACAGCATAATAAAATTTATTTATAAATTAATATCACAGAATATTTGGGTCTTGTTTATATTTTTTCTAAATATAAAAGATTTTTATATATAAAAATAAAAAGATGAAAAATAGATAGATTATTATTTGAAAATTTTTAATTGTCAGAAAGGCATTAACTATCTGATGAATTATAAATGTATGTATTTTTAACGTCAAATACAAACGTTAGCATTAAACTTAATGGTGAGAAAAATTTTATTTCGGTTATACAATTTCAACATCTGGAAAGTTTTTATCACCATAAAATGATTTTTTAACAATACTTCACTATACAAAAACAGCAAAATAAAAATTTTACTGGGTTTATATAAAACAAATGATATACATTGGTATTAAATTGGAATTTCGTCGCCAAAACTACCAGAAATTAAGGCGACCGAATTTGCAACCTGTGTTTTCTTATAAAATTTTGAAAATATTCAAAATTTTAATATATAAAAAATAGTTAATAAACGAAATGTAAAATTCCCATTATAATCAAAGAATTGTTTTTTACTTAAAGGATTTTAATTCTGATAATAAATCCAAATTATCTAAATATGATATATCTTAACCCATATTTTTAAGTTGATTAACTTTATATATAAATATATTATTTTCATTATAAAGATATTAAGTTTAGCTTTGAATTTACGTTTAATTTAACGTTTTGACCCATTTTTTTTAAAACTAATAATTTAGAAAGTTTTTTTTTTGTTTTTTTATGTATTTTCAGCCATGATCGACGCAAGGGGAACTTTTAAATCTATGAATGTATGAGAAAATAAGGATATGGATAGTCTTGTTGTCGATTAAACATTTGAATAGTTGGAGATGGTTACAGAAAAGTTTATATGGATAATGAAACAAACTTTGGGGTAAATATATGACTAATGGATTTTGAATAAAAAATCAAACGTCAAATGTGTTGTGTTGGATTATATATATAGGTTTTTTTATTTTCAGGTTTTTTTTTTAAGCCAAACGTTTCCCCAAGCAAAGCGGGAAGCCACTAGGACGCAAGGGGTTACAGAAAATTTGGAGCAAGATCAGATAGGAGTGATAGAAGAAAGGATGAGGAGGATGAGAAGGATAGTGGATAGATCAAGGCAACTGGAGATGTCGATTGACATTACATTTGAATAGTTGGAGATTATAGCTCTCAGGGGAAACTGGAATAGGGAAGGGAGTTCCACAGGCGAGAGGTGCGAGACATGAAGCTATTGGAGTAGAAGAGACGGCTACATTTAATAGTTTCGACAGTGAAAGGGTGAGAGCGGGATGCCAGCCTCGTAGGGCGCTTGAATTCATGAAGTCTGGGAACCAGCGAATGCAGCTCCTCGGAGCAATTGCCATGAAAGTATTTGTAAAAAGACAGAAGAGAGGCGACGGCGCGTCTGTGAGAAAGTGACTGTAGACGAGATGCCAGAACAGGGCCAATTATATTGCATATCCGCCTCTGGAGCCTATCAAGAACCCTGAGGCAAACAGAAGGGGCTCCAGACCATATATGGCAGCAATACTCCATGCAAGGGCGAATTGTTGATTTGTAGATCTGGAGGATCGATTCCGGGGAGAAAAATTTCCTGGCGCGGCACAGGGAGCCAATTTTCCTTGCGGTGGACGAAGCAATTGACTCAATGTATTTGTTCCATCTCAGGTCAGCAGTCAACGTGAGACCGAGCAGCCGCAGATTTTTGCTCTTTTTTTTTGAGCGTCAGACATTCTAATGGAGGGCGTTAAAATATTTTGATATTTATAAACAATACATGAATTTTAAAATATATATATTATGAAAATATAAAACATTTGACATTTTATGTTGTTTTGTTTACAACTTTATATTAAATTAAATAAATATTTATTTGCTAATATTATGTATGGAATATAACGCACGTATATACGGTTTTTCGAATAAATAGTTATTTGGTATAATTTTAATACATATTTTGGTGTTATATATATATATAAATAAAGTTAAAAGAGCCAGACAAACCTACATAAGGTTTCACCTAAGCGGATCGTCAGGGAAGGCTTTTCCCTGACGAATTTCTACGTTTGAAACTTGTAGGTTTCACTGGCTTTGTAGGTGGGAATATTTCTTCAACTAAAATATAATATATTTATTTAGTTATTTTGCCTACTCGTATCGGTTTTTTTCTATGGGCTTTGTACTTGTATGCTAAACAATTATTTTCGGCTAAGGTCCATGTTCTTTGTTTTTTTTTTTTTTTTTCCCCCTTTGGTATTGGTTTGATTGCAAATCAAGACACCGAAGGTTTTCGGACCAGTATAATTTCTTCATACTTATAAGATTATTACACAAACACACACACACAATTACACAAATATAATATATATATATATATATATATATATATATATATATATAAAAAATCCAGATAGTTGCAAGATACAAGGATAGATAGATAGATGAGAAAAAAAATATATATATATATATATATATATATATATATATATTTTTTTGTTTGGATATCCCTAGGAAAAGTAAAAGGCCATTTAAATTAAATTTCAAAACTGATTTTGCGCCATTTGATTTAGGGTAATAAAGACAGATACTGTCTTGAGGCAATCGGATG